CGATACCTGTAATGTTGTAAACATTGTTGAAGACGACTCTGTTTGTGCTGCATTAGTAGTAGAATTATTAGGACTAGAGGACGGGGTATTCTTACTGGGGGAGGACATGCTAGCCCCACCCCCTCCAATATCTTTTTTCTTATCTCTATCTTCTGCTATCTGTTTCAATATTCTTTCTTTCTCCTGAAACCAAAATATATTGAGTTTAAAGACCATGGTTCACTATTTTTAGGGTTTATTTCTTTTCTAAATATACTGTCAAGTAACCTATTTTCGTGTGAACCTAATTTTATGAAACGATTTACATGTGCGACCTCATGTAACCTTCACATTTGCATGTTTTGATATAATGTCAACCTGAGGAATTTTTCCTAATGTTTCAAAGCAATGTCAAATTTATTATCTATTTCTTACATGTATATGCAAATCGGAATTCCAAGTGTTGTTTACTAAAATATATAGCAGTGAAAAAAGTCACGTGTCAAACTAGTGGATTCAGTGTCAGCAGAAAAATTCTATGGAACACAATGTAGGTCATATCCGTATGTTGTTTTAATGAATTTTAGCAATAAAATACTCTTATCTTATTTTGTCAGTCACTATTTTTTTTAATCATTGTTCTTTGAAGGGATTGTCATTAGTTATAATGAATTCATATTAAAGATATATACTAAGAGTAGTTAATTATACCACTGGGTATCCAAAACATTGTATACGAAAATAGGTGATGCGTTTTGCCGCCATTATCGAGTTGGTTACTCACAAAATATGGGTCAAGGTGAGAGATTCATAGAGAAAATCAAACAAAATAATTTTAATTATTTTATAGAATATCTGAAGAAACATCTAAAAAATATATGCATGTATATAGGTTACACCACTCACTTACACCATAGATAGCCTTGAAAAGTACTAAAACTGCATGAAAATTCAAATATACATCATTTCAGAAATTTCAAAATCTATGTCTTGTCTATATATGGCAGAGTCTCAAGAGTTATCATCTTACCTTTCAACCATGGATACTTCTGGACACACATGGATTTGAAGGCTCAAATTTCAATGGTAAGCTGTGAACACTAGCTAAAAATATTCCTTTTTCTGAGACTAAGGTCAAACGATTTGAAAACATGTCCCTTTAACAATTAGTACACTGCATTTTTAATCACACCTTTTAAAACTAATATAGTTTGATCAAGTAGATACATAGATGTAAAAAGCATAATTTTAGAAATATTTTCAAGTTTAATTTACAACATTTTTCATACTGCCCCTTTAACACATCTAAATGTGTGATAAGAAATTGAAACTCACTTGTCGTTGTGCTAATTTTTCATCACGAGCTCGTTTTCTGGCCTCCTCTCGTTGTTTTTCCTCAAATAATTCTTTATCTTTGCGTTTGTTGTCTGTGAGGTGATGACGGCTGACCACAGCACTGTCAGTTTCCATTTCACAATTGACACTATTTATTGGTACTTCCTGTTGGACTGGTATTGGACTGACAAATGGATTAGATGACATCTGTAAAGGTTCTGTTGTTTGCTGAAAATAAATGAAAATGGCAATGAGTGTACAATATGGGAAATTAATACAATAAAATAGTTCTGATGCTTGCTTTAAAAGGTAAAGAAAACAATTATTACGGTTAGATTAGAATATATCAACTTCTCCGTTTCAATGTGTTTCTCACACTATCTTAAGGAATTTAATGAGTGATATAAAATAATAACTTACCATGAGTCCAAGTTGAAGTCTGGGTGATTGAGATGGCATTGCTGCAAGTCCTGGTTTTCCAGACAATATCCTAAAATTTAAATTAAAAACTGTTTTATCTTTTAACTCAAAAGTCAAGACACTACATTTTAAATAATAGTTGCTTAATATTACCTTTCATTGTTATTAAAGTACATACCATCACCAGTTCTGGTATTTAGTTAGTCTGTGTTTAAAAGAAAATGTACTGGAAGTACTGAATATAACAAAGATAGCTTGCCAGGCAAGGTAATATACGCCTACTGGCAGCTTTGATTTTGAATAAAAATATTTAGCATTACAGTAACAATCACCAGTATGAAATATTCAACCTTCAGTCATACACTTCTTTTGAACTCTTTAGGGCAATACTGAATAATATTGAGTTATTGGCCTTGTTCTTGAGAACTTGTTCAATTTTTTGCTCGTGAATACTCTAGAAAGCAAATATTCAATCTTCAGCGAGGGACTGAATAATAAAACCAAGTATTGTCAAAATCCAGCAACAATCATGCCTTTTAGTGTTTTAGAGTTAAATTTGAAAGCATTTTCAAGAACAAAAGCAAAAACTCATACTAAATATTTTGCGATTGTTCTTATTTTCAATAGGCTTCATCCTTAGGTGGTTACGAACAATCACACACAAGTTTCAAAATTCGTCAAAAATTGTGCCTTCTACAGTGATTACGCATACTAAATATTTTTTGATTCTTCTGATTTTCAATAGGGTTTATCCTTGGTTGGTAACACGCACTCATGCCAAGTTTCGTCAAAATCCATCTAGAATTATACCTTCTAGAGTGTTTACGAGCTGAAAATTGAACACGTTTTCAAAAGCAAGGGCAATAACTCATGCTAAATATTTATCGATTCTTCAGATTTTTCGATTCTTCAGATGTTCAATAGGGTTCATCCCTGGGTGATTACCAACACTCATGCTAAGTTTTGTTAAAATCCATCAAGAATTGTCACTTCTAGATTGTTTGCAAGCTTAAAATTTAACGCGTTTTAAAGAACAAGGGCAATAACTTATACTAAATATTTTTTGATTCTTCTGATTTTCAATAGGGTTCATCCTTGGATGATTAACATTCATACCAAGTTTTGTCAAAATCTGTCAAGAATTGTGTCTTGTAGAGTTTTTACGAGCAATTGTGGACGGAATCGACGAACAGACAGATGGACGGGCAGACGGGTGACGGCAATATACCCCCCCCCCCACCCCCCCCCATTTCATGTGGGTGTATAAAAATGTCCAAGCATGCAGACCATTATCAACAATTTAACCAGAATGCGGCAAACTGCAGTTATATCAAGATAAGACCAAACTTTCGTTCTGATTTTTTATTAACCTTTTGACCTAACTCGACGACGTCTGCTTTAACCAATCAAATTTCTACCCTATCCATCACTGGCATTTTTTAACAGTGTTTAGCATTTTAGGTCAAAAGGTTAATTTGAAAAACATTCCACAGGGCAAACTGGTATTTTTCAAATCTTATGGCATGAAGTTTTTTTCTTCAGGCAGATATGATCGAAATTTCACGATTCTCTGCCAATGCCAATAAAATTAGGGCAAAGTGATCAATTCTCGATATAGAACTGGATGCTAGTTTTCTGAGAACATATCCATGATAATAACTAAAACATTAAAACAGAACTCTTCATGATAGAGGTAATTACAGACGTCTGTAATCCATTTGAAAAAAATCCTCAATTTCATCTGCTTACTATGAAATTATGGTCAAACGCAACAAACTGGTCACAGAACTGACACTGTTTACACTATTAAATTTCATCTGTTCTGAGAACTGTTCCAAAAACACCTTGTCTCTGAGGTCATAATATCATAAAACAGATAATCTGAAGACCCAAGTTGCTGATTGTAACTTACTAACCATTCTACTATTTCTTCTACTGTAACTTTACCATATTGTACTGCCTGTTGACAATCATCTAACTCAAACCCCATGGACATCACAGTAGCTATTGCATCATCTAATGTAGTCTGTAATTAATTTTAATCATTAATGCCTAGGTAACCTTACTTATAGGTGGGTTCATCCTTAGGTGATAATAACAGGTTTCGATGATATCCATCAAGAACTGTGCCTTCTAGAGTGTAAACATGTTTGAAAGAATGATAACCATATAATTTACAATTCCATAGTTGAGTTTGTAGTAAGTTTTTAGAATCAGATCTTAGTGATTTTGTAGTAGTCTTGCTTGTAACAAGATCGCAGAGATAATGAGGACCCATTTCATGGATCCACTGATAGGTCAGAGTTAATATCTTGTATTCGACACAAGCTTCAACCGGGAGCCAATGAAGTGATTTTAGAACAGGAGTGTCACAATGCGCCCTGCAGAATTTTGTATGCGTTTTAGCTTCTGTAATGATTCCTTTGAGGCACCGACAAAGAGACTCTTGCAATAGTCAATCCTTGACAAGATAAGAGACCGTGCTAGGGCTGCAGTAGCTTCGGCTGTAAGTATATGCCTAATGTTCCCTTATTGTTCCCAATATTACGAAGAATGTAATTACATTTCCTACATAGATAGAGTATCCCTGACTGTAATATGTCACCACGGTTCTTTACAGAAGACTACAATGGAATTTCCTCATCTAACGAATGTGACTGACATTTGCTTTATTTAGCATGGCAGAGGTTCCAACAAACATTACCTCTGTTTTGTAATTTGTGCATATTATTTGTCATCCATGCCAAATGTTCCAGTTCCAGATAATGATGCTAGAAGAGTACATGTAATTGGGTTGACATGTCCAAGAGCTGGGTGTCATCAGCATAGAGATGATGACCTACACCATTATCTGAAATCAATTTGCCAAGTTGTTTTGTATATAGGGTGAAGAGTATAGGGCCTTACACAGATCTCTGTGGAACACCACATACCATTTGTAGACTGTTTGACCTAATATTATGGTCCAAAATTGCTTCTTAACACTGTAGAAGTGTTAAGAAGCAATTTTTGTTGGACACCAATATACCTTTCACATACAACAAAAATATACAATACCATTGTAATTTATCAGTATCTTATTGCTACTTAAATCTGAAATTGATCTTTATCAAAATAAGACTTTAAGAGGCTTTATTTTCTTATCAATTTTAATCTTAGATAACAAACAGTCTTGTCATATCTTTATCATTCATTTCATTTCACATTAGAAAAGAAAAGCACTATAGAGAAAAGAAGACTGACATCTGAAGATACAGAACTAAATAATGAATATTTTGGCAGTATTTATATTGATTTCTGCATTGTCAGGTGTCTTATCTGGACCACTTCATGCCTCTTGTAAGATAGATTGGTGAGTGAATTTCTGTTAGACAACTCTAAAGTGCTAGTTTAAAGGGATTGTTAAGAGGTTTTTGAAGTGTACAGGTGACCTTATTAGCATCAATTGTACAATTCCACAAAATTCTTACTTTAAGTGGAATTGCAAGAATTACAGATATTTGACTGAAAATAGGAATGATGCAACTAGATGCAGTTTCTTTACAAAGAACTAGAATTTGGACTAAATCTGTTCAACAATACAAGTTATGGGTTTTAATAATATTATAAAGTCAATTTAGGATTTGTTATTGAGAAAACTTTTTTGGGTTTTAACACTGTCCCATTTTCAAAGGACCAATCCACTTTTTTTGTAGGTCGGAAAAGTGTTTTGCTCAAATTTGTGAAAACTATACACCAAGATCTAGAGAAACATGCTCCCTTAAAGTATCTAAATTTTTTAACTTAAAAAATCTGACCGTTTACTTTTAAAAGCCAAACTATCAAAAAAGTAAACATAAACTATTAAAGTTTATTAAAGTTATGCTTTTTGGAAACCACTGTATGGATTTATTTTGTAAAATTACCCTTTATTGTAGAGAAATAAGTCTTCTACATACTAGGCTATTCTAATAGTTTCAACTTATTGCACTGGTGATCGACAACTTGCACAGGTGCAGAGAGGTGTCGAGTGTTCAGAATTGTTGAACATACTAGTGGCACCACAATAGTTATATACACCAGTGTGACGATAGGCCATACGATAATAATGGGTATTCAGAGTAGCTACTACCTAACTTACTAAGTATAGAGTAGAGTAGGCCAGTAGAGGGTCAACATTTACTACATCACTGCACTGCCAAGTAGACATGCGATTTTCAAAATGAATTCGAATTTGTTCAAAATAATATCTTTGAAAATTGACACACGCACAAGTTTCAAAGAAATGATTGGTTAATCTTAAATAGTCAATGACATTACGTCGTCTGCAATTTGTTGTTTACCTGAGACGCCATTTTTGTTTTTCTATCTTCAAGTAGCAGGCGAACTAAACGATAAATTGATCTGACTGAAATATAAGGCAATTATCTCAATGATTTTCATACCCTGAACTTGTCAACATCATTTTCCAAATTTACTCAGCAATTTCAAAAATATTAGAAGTACATACAAATCTTGACCTAAGATGACTTTCTGTTTTATCGGTTGGTTTGTATTTTGTCTTAGTTATCCAGACTCAAATAAAAATGCCTGCAAAATCGACTTAAATGTTACACACTAAACGGAATTATTTTGGTCATGATTAATATCATTAACAATATTGTCTTAGATTTAGAATAATGATAACATGTCTCAAACTTATTTGTAGATTCGTTTGAATATGGTCGATTTTGCATGTCAAATTTGTGACTAGATGAACTTTATTGAAAGTCATTCTATGGTGTCATGTGATCACTCTAAATTTAAACTTATGCAACAAAATCGGGGAAGAAAGACACCAATCAACCTAACTTTGGAAGCTAGATCTGTATTGTCATATTTGATAAACCATAAATTGAAAATTATGTTTTTGTTGTCGACATTATTAATTGCTTATCTTAGCTATGGCACTCTTGCCATCCCTCCGTTTCATGCTTCATGTAAAGTGGATTGGTAAGTTTTTATATCGTCAGTGCCATGCCAAATTGTCTACAAAACAACACAATATCTAATATACGAAGTTAGTAATAGCTTGACATTATGATGATTATATTTATATCTTTGAAAAGATATTGTTTCAATTTCTGTTATTGCCTATAATCCGATAAATCAATAAGTAATTATCCTAAGGTAAACAGGGATTCTGTGTTTATTTATTTATTTTAAATTGCAGGCAGTTTGGTATGGAATGTGATGCTGTCATGACTAAGTTGGTCAATCAGATCAAGGCTATGGGTGGAAAATCAGGCTGTGCCAATGGCGGAGAAAAATGTTTATATGAGGTGTGTATAGGCCTACATGGGATGTGAAAAAAAAAAACACACTGTAGCTATTTGTACGGTCACTGTGTGTGTTGTCTTCATTTTCAATCTATTTACTACTGTTGTTAGCAATAAATTGTAACAAAGAATGATTATGGTATGATTGCTTACTTTGTAAAATCTCCTTCATTGCCCACAGAGTTGAAATGTAGAAGACTTGTACGACAGAAATGAAAAATTGGAATATAAATCAAAACTTTGAATTCAGAAAATCAATTCTCAATTTGTGTTTTTTTCAGCTGACCTCTTCCACTTCTGCCCAAATAACAGCCAAACATACAACTCCTGTCAAAGGTTATGTTGATGATTTGACCTTCACCTTCAAAGGAGGAAAGACCTCAAATCCTTGTCAGGTTCATGTAAGTTATTAATCCGATTTATGGATTTATGGATAGGAATATAATTTTTGGTAAAATAAAAAGTTAAAAATGTTTGTACCTTGACCATTCGAAACATGTCTCTGTCTGTTTATCATTATTAGACATACACATTTTAATTTTATAAATGTCCACTATATTTCATACTGGTGATTGTTATTGTACTGCTTTATGTTCTTATTTACTAACAAAGCTGTCTGTGGGCATATATTACCTTGCCTGGAAAGCGGTTTTAATTTCAGGTTTCACTTTTGCTTTAGCCCAAAACCATGCAGAAAGGTAGAATGAAAAACTCTAATTGCCATATTCTTTGTTACAGGGTTACAGTACATCTGAAACTTGGTATGCTGTATTAGATTTTGGTACCAACTATTGTAACCTAGAAAACTTAATTATTGGTAGGTATTCAAACATTAATTTTGTGTTGGTGATATCATTTTTGCAGGTTTTTTTCTTAATTTTTTTTAAACCCTAGCCATTTGACTTGATACAGAATGATGAAGATGTTTATTAGTTATGTATATTATATTATACCTTAACTGCAATATCCACCTTTCTTGTATCACATAATTGATTTTGATTTGATTGTATGCCAGTCAATTGTATCCCTTGACAGAACACTGAAGTTCGTAATAGTTTGACATTGTGAAGATGAGTAACCTACAGAAAGACATGAAGTGAAAAATTCAGCTCTGCATCAGATTGAGATTTGTTAGTAAAATTGGTTATATTTATTTCAACCTCTGTGTATTTCAGGCGCCGGTCTAAATAGTACAAGTGGATACAGTGAAACTACCAGTGATTCTATTTGTACACAGTATTCTTCAGCTGATTGTGAAAAATATTAAAGAGGACAAAGATATCTGAGCTCATCCGAGAATTATCCATACTAAAATTGTCCAATTTCCTCTTTTAGATAATTTCAGTTACAATGAACACATTATAGGTCAAATCTAATTAAAAATGGATTACAATTTAGCATCTTTGATTATTTTCTGATGCTTTTAGTCTCCATTGTAATGTAACTAGTTTTCTATTGAAGACCTCGTAACATTATTTTAACCAATCGAAGTGTGTCATGTAGAATCTGTTTCTTGATAAAGTAAGGAATGGTGGGATTTCTAAACCTAAAGTAGAGCAATAAAAAAGCCTTTATTTGTTGCTTTCTCACAATTCCTTTTTTTTATCACATGATACACTTTGGTTTAAAATAACATCACTAAGACAGGTCTTTGATAGAAAACTTGTTAGATTAAAATTGAAACAAAACAGATACAAATTTTTATCTTGACTGCAATAGTAACCTATGACAGAAAGTCTGTAAACAATAAGACATAATGTTTACAGACTTTCTGTTGAGGGCTCTGATTAACTTAGAGGTATAAGATAGCTTGATATTGTGAAGATGCCTTATTGTATGTTATGTAGATGTATGTAATCCACAGTAAGATGTATATAAAGAGTCATTATAAATATATATGTATTTCCCATCATCTAGAAGCTAAACCATGTCAATAAAAAGCTGGCGTGTGCTTAAAGGGGACAGGTTTCAATTTTTGTGGGTTGATTTTAGTCTTGAATATATGTAAATAGTATTCAGAAGTACTAAAAATGTATTCAATTCACATATTCCTTTACTTCAAACAAAGAATTTTACTCACTATTTCTATATATGTCTTTTCTATATATCACAGAGTATCTTAAATTGACGAGTCGTCATTTTAACATTCAACACACAGATTATTCTTGACACTCCTGGATTTGAAGGCTCAAATTTCGATGGTGAGCTGTTAGCACTATTACTGATTAGCTCAGCTAAAATATTCCAGTTTCTGAGACTACAGTATGATTGGTCAAAAAAGCTACTTGTCCCTTTAACTATCTTGGCCACTGTTGTTCCATCAAATACAAGTAATATTGATTACATTTAATTATGAATTCTTAATTTAACAATTTAACATATCGGATTCATAATTTTACATTTAGTCCAGTGCAGTGTACAGTATTGAACTGAGTGTTTATTAGGTGCACATCTAGAATTTCAGTCTATTTAACAATAACTGTGTCTGTATCATAGTTTCAATGCCATATTTCCATACAACCGAACTTCTTGTAATTTTTTCACTAACTTTTTGTTGTCTTCTCTTTCCTGCAAAAAAGGGATTTAACAACATTTAGTTTCAGTGGACTAGTCTAATGCTCCTTGAAACACTGCTTTTATGTCGTGTCACATAATCCAAGCACTAGAGAGGGAAGATTGATTGACTGGAGGGGTCATCAAACAGACAAATGTTTATTCTAGACTGACCTGGAAATATTTTCATGAAAAAATTTAAAATTTACAGAAATTTTGTAAAAACTGATGAAAAAAGTTGAAGACATGCCTGCTGTAACTCTGCCTGTAGAATAAGACAGTGTGTTTTCTCACCAGTTAGTCTCATCTTCTGATAACTTAACACAGATCTGGAAAATATTAACACATATTTACTTTAACAAGTGGTTGCCTTGCAAGAAACGCCCACTTTCCTGATAAATTTTCAGTATCTCAAGGGCGTTCACCAATCTGTGTAAATCATAACAAAATCTTGCACAAATTAGATTTTTGGTGACTTAATCAAACACCAATTTTGATGTGTTTTGTACTAAGTCAAGGGCAAAACACTCTAATTCAGAAAAATTGTCAAATTCAATCTTGACTTCGATCTCATCACCACACCAAATCTAATTGAAATTAGCTATTGTGTTCAGAAACAAATTTTGACACTTTTTTTTTTAAGTCAAGGGCAATAACTAAAAAAACGTTCATTGAAAGATCGTCAAATTTGAACTTGTCCAAGATCTCATCATTATAAAATCACACCAAATTTCATTTAAATCATAAACTCTAGTCTCTATTGTGTTCACAAATTTTGACGTGTTTTTCTTAAATCAAGGGCAATAACTCAACAACCTTTCATTGAAAGATAGCCAAATTCAAACCTGTCCAAGATTTCATCAATATAAATGATCACACCAAATTTCATAAAAAGAACAATGAGGGAAATATTGCCCAGGACAGGGATCTGCTTATAGCCCATGCAGCCTCAGTTTATTGTGCCGTCTGAAGGACAAGATGATTTTTCCATGTTAGCCCCTCGGACCTACATCAGTGACAGGGGATACCATATTGAAAAATCCATGATATTATCTCATCATGCTGGGACTGAATCCTGGAAATCTGGTTAGCAAGTAAGCGTGACTGAACCACTGTAGCTCCCTATGCTGGAATAAAGCCAAGACCTAAACTTCTAATATACTTACACCAATATAAGGAACAAAGGTAAAACAACTGTATTTGATATCAGCCATAATAAAACCAGTTTCAACCAATATATTGGTAAACTATTAGCAAAAGAAGTATACACTGATGTAGGTATGAACTGTCCACTAAATGGTCCTTCAACAACATTGGCAGTACTTGTAGCTCCTAGATCTATTACTCGACTGCAAAAAAAAGAAATAGAATTCAATGAGGAAAATTATGACACTCCATTACTATTATTTGATTTTCTATATGGTTGTTCCCTGAAATATTTTTCCGCTCGACTTAAAGATGAGTTCCCTTATTTTTTATTGTCAAATTCAGCAAACTATTTGAATAATTGGTTTTTCTAATGAATTATTGTGTATTCTTAATTATATCATTATTTTCTTATTGCATAAAGTTAAGAGCTATTAACCAATCATTAATGTCCATATATGTACAGTCTGGATAAACAAAAAAAGACTTTTTGACCTTTCTTGATCGGTCACTCAATGGAATTCTGCTGGTATTTCTCTTCTAATTTAACTATATATGAATTAATTATGGACATGTGAGACAAACTGGTATTTTTCCAAGTCATTAGAACACCTCTACTTTCTATTCATGCAAGTATTAGCTTTTTCATTTTCATAAATGAAAGTAAGGGAACCCATCTTTAATAAAACCATTTAAATTATAATTGTCAAAAAATTTCATGCTAGTCTACAAAGTGCTTCATAATCGCAAAGATACCCCTAGGTTGAAAACCCCTGCTCTATGACACTGTCAGTCACTTATTATTCAGGTGCACAAAAAGGGCACGAAAAAACATGCAATAAAGGAAATTTTGTCCCTCTATGGACTAAAAGTAGGTTAAACTCTAGCCTATGCAATGAGGGAAATTATGTTGGGCCTAGTTAAAAATAAGTTAATGCTAAATTTTTTGCAAAACAAGGACCTAATAAGAATATTAGCTTACCTTCCAATAACAATAGAAACTGGAACAATTACACAGAATAGAGTGAATAATAGAACACTCATAAAGAAAAATGTCCTGCGAGTTTGACGCCATCGTTTTATAGGTGGTTTACACGTATGGGTGACAATTGCATAGTTCAAGAAGAAAAATATTAAATTTGATACAGCTCCAACCAAGGGCAAAACTGGACAAACTAATGTTCCTATCTGAAAAGAAAATTGAATGTCCAATTGACAAACAGTTTCTAAATCAATTGTAATCTTGAAGCGATATGAACAGATACTATATGAATTGTAACATGGACTCTCTTGAAGGGATCTCAAATTAAAAAATACAAAATATAATGCTAGATGCCAATCAACAATGGGGTTTCTAGGAATCATTAGGTTGTGGGGTCGAGTAGGGAAGGAAGGCTCACACCAGGGACTAGGTATTTATGAACTGGAGGTACCAAAGCAGGGACAGATGTTCAGTTGGCAAATCAAAGTACTAAATCTGAAACTGAAAGTGATCACCAGATCTGAGAATATTGTCAGATCATGGATGATGAAACATAAAGATATGGAAGATGTATTGTTTTGTATTACCCATATCAAAGCCTGGCGGTAAATTAAAACCAGAACAGCAGAGGGTATATCATACTCTAACTTTTGTTGTTTCCAAAAAAAGTATAAATAAGATATCACTAACTTGGCGCATGTCTGAAAAAAAATAGTGCATCTTGCAGTATATTTTCAAAAGTATATCAAATTTTTACTTCTCAAACTTGGTCAATAAGTGTAAATATTTATCAGTGGTGTTATAACTGTTCAACTTAATTCCTGTACATAACCCAATAAATCCATAAAACAACGTAGTTTTTCATAATTGCTTTCACAAAGTACGTATTATAAAATGTTAACCAAAGAAAACTAATCTATTGAGTCATCTTAATGATACAGCAAAGAAGCTATCAATCATAATGTCAAGCTATTACGACCTTCAGCTTATACCGTGACTGCCATATCAACCTTTCTTGTATCACGGAATGCAGCGATTTGATTTAATTGTACAACAGCAAATACAGCCAATCAAAGTCCTTGACAGAATTACTGTGAACATTATGACTAAGTAATTACATGCCTTTTGATGAGGCCTCTGATTGGCTGTATTTGCTAGCATACAATCAAAGCAAATCATTGCAAACTATAGTGATACAAGTTAAAGACAATTTCACAGGTTACTTTCCTTGATGAGTGTTTGAAGATTCCCTTGCATAAGCTTGGTTCTACTTGGGGACAAATATGTCCATTCTCATAGGTTTGACTTATATTGACAGAAATCCAAAGCTGTATTGAGTGAAAAAAAAACTGAACAAAGAATTACTCACATGTATTATGGTGTCCATTATAATAAGTTTATAGATTTCTTGACCCAAAATAGTTCCTATACAGACACGACTTACTGCTAGCCTCTACAATAAAATAATTTGTTTTTAAAGGGGTATTTAATGTTAAAAGCCATTGTTCCTCAAGTTAGGGGGCTATTTACGTAAACCATTCAACTAGTTTTGGCTTTCTAACATTAACTGCAAGATAAAAAATTTCGACCCACTAAAAAATCAGATTTCCCTTTAAAGGAACAATTGTGCAGTTTTATTTACCATTTGTACCATTAGCCTCAGAAACAGTAGTAGTGTTCACAGCTCACTATCAAAATTTGAGCCTTCAAATCAATGTGTGTAAAGAACTATCCGCGTTTGAAAGTTGAAATGACAGAAAAATCTGATACTAAGACATACATAGAAAAGATATCTATACAAATAAGAAAAGAAATTCCTAGTTTAAAAAGTATTTGCAAAAACTGCGATTTTGTCAGTTCTGAAAACTATTTACATGTATATAAAAGCAAGTATGGCGTATCTTGACCCCCTTACACCTACCTCAGACTGTAGGGTCATACTGTACAATGACATGATCAATGCAAATACGTTGGCCATTCTTAAGAAAAATATTCTAGAAATGGTGATGTTTAACTCGGCTTGACCAGTTTTATACTTTTCTATTAAAGGTATCTACAAAAAGTATCATCAAATTTTGGGCTCATGGAATAGAGTTTTATATCCTGCTGCTCTACACCTTATTGAGCTAATGGAATAATGTTTTACATACTACTGTTCTCAACCTTATTGGGCTTCTTGGATGTTGAGGGGTCTGATTGGCTGTGCTTGCTAACATACAATCCAAGAAAATTACTGCATTTACAAACTTCAGAAAAGTAGCTCTTGCAGTCACTTAGGTATAAGATGAAAATTGAAGAATGTAATAGACAACGTGAAAACACAAACATACAAGCAATGTGGCTATTGCAGTCAAGGTATAAGATAAAGTTTGTATTAGAGTAACATTGTGAAGATAGGGGCCACATTGGTATCAATATTTTCCATGAGGATATTATGATTTTATTTTTACCTTTGATAGAAAAAAAGGAATAAATAAATTGATCAAACTGAAGGCCACGGGTGTCATATATACCTGTAGTAAATTAGCGTCCTGTAATATACAATCAAATGATGGTTTAACAAATAGACATATTCAAGGGTGTCCATAGAATGTCTGCTAAAGTTGGTAAATAAATAATACCCATTTTCTCCATAGTTCTGACGTCCATGTAGGCTATATATTACCAAGGAAATGGATAACAGTCCCAGTCCAAAACTGCAGTTTCTGATATTAACAGATTATGAAGTCTTTTTCCATATTCAACTGTCAAAGAATCTGTTCCGTACAGCTACTGTTTATTGTGAAAATTAGAACGTCTTTGAATATTCTCCCAATCCAACCAACCTCAATCACTGACCGGCAGACCGGTTGAACAAGGTCTGAATCTATGGCTGCTACCACATATTTTAGTCCTAATAAAGTCTGGAAATGCGATGAAGAAAACTTTGCTAGCACCCAAATTGATTGATCATTAAAAATTAAAAAGTGACATACCCCTCTAAAATCAATACCTTCATCTGAGATGTCACCAGAAAGAGTGTGCTCTCCGGTGGACACAAAATTAACATATAACACTAAATACGCGATGGCAGCACACCCCCCTCCAACCAACAACCTGTAAATGAATGGAATTTTAAATTTTACTTATCTGTCCCTGATGTGGCAATGAGGAAATTTCTGCCACGACTGTGTTAACTATCTCTGAGTAACAACAAAAATAAAAAGAAGTTAAGTTTTATGCCTTTTCCACTCCTGAGTGAACTAATAAAAAAAACAAAAAATATGCAGTGAACATACACGTATCATCAGGAAGCCTGTCAACAAAACATTACTTGTATTATTATTCTAATATCTTAAAATATACATACTTAGTAAAATATCAAGTTTGAAGATAAAAAGCTACATGCTATCCATCAGCCCATATCACGATATGTATCGTATCATAACCCTTATATCATGTATCGTGACATGATTGGCATTACCCAACATAAAAAAATAATAGCAGCATTTGGAGGGATTAAAAACAGGTTTTCTAGCTTTTGTATAAGTATTGGGAATGCCTAAAGATTCCATTTGTACCATTCCCAATTCCTGACTCTCTGACCAATGTCTGTGGTTCCAAAACACTTTATTTAAGTTATCATATCGCTATAGCAATAGAAACTAAAGCTAAGTCTGCAATGGCAGAAAGGCCAGAAAACCTCTTTTAAATCCTTTTCAATAGAAACTTCCAAATTATAACAGTCCAAAAAAAATCAGTAAAAATTAACAAACAATTTGAAACATGAACTGAAAAGAAAAATCATACAAAGTTAAAATCCAGGCCACAAATCTTCTCAGAAAAATCACACATCTGTCTTTTCTGCTTCTTTCAGTTGATAGCAAATCAGCTTTAGCTTGATACATATTATCCTACAACAAGCAAGGGCTATAAGTCTTGATACATGTTTTCTTACAACAAGCAAGGACAACAACTCTTGATACATGTTATCCCACAACAAGCAAGTGCAATGACTCTTGATACATGTTATCTTACTACAAGCAAGGGCTACAACTCTTGATATATGTTATCTTACAACAAGCAAGTGCAACGACTCTTGATACATGTTATCTTACAACAAGCAAGGGCTATAGCTTGTGATACATGTTATCTTACAACAAGCAAGGGCTATAGCTCGTGATACATGTTATCTTACAACAAGCAAGGGCTATAAGTCTTGATACATGTTTTCTTACAACAAGCAAGGACAACATCTTTTGATACATGTTATCCCACAACAAGCAAGTGCAACGACTCTTGATACATGTTATCTTACTACAAGCAAGGGCTACAACTCTTGATATATGTTATCTTACAACAAGCAAGGGCAACGACTCTTGATACATGTTATCTTACAACAAGCAAGGGCTATAGCTCGTGATACATGTTATCCTACAACAAGCAAGGGCAACAACTCTTTAAACAAACTACCGAACTATAAGATACAAAACAGGAACTAACATCTGCTCGCTCTTTGCAAATGTTTGAATATGAGAAGGCACGCAATTTTATTGGTAATGAAAAATAACTTCAACCAATAAAAACTTAAAAGACAAGTTAAGGCCTAGAAGTCAACTGACTTCAATCAAGATCAAGCGAGATTGAAACTGGCACTTACCTTCAAGGCGCTAATGATTCCTTTACGTAAATTTATGGCAGCATCTTCTGCAGTAATTGAGAAATCCCAGGATGAAAATAGCAGGAAAGAGAAACGATAGCGTTTATTGAGAGAGTTGGACACACTGGGCTTCCTAGCTATCGCCATGCTGTAAGAAAAAGTATTACTGTGTGCACACCATTCAATGATGATTTCTTTAGGACTTCATTTAATTGATTTTGCTTTTTAATCATTCTTTTTTCAAAATACAAAAGTTATCAAGTTCAATTTTCTTTCTAATAAAAAAAAATCAAAACAATTTGGCAGGTAAGGTTATAAACTTGCTTCTCTTCTGTTCCACTCCAGATTGGACCAATGACAACCAGAAACACCTAGCAAGAAAGTATCTTTACAATCTTTACAATGTCAACTGTCAAGCTTTTACGAACTGTGTTTTATACCTTGACTGAAATAGCCAATGGAATGCAGCGATTTAATTGGACTGTATGCTATCGAATACAGCCAATTACAGCTATTGCAGTCAAGGTATAAGATGATGTGACAGGGATAATCGATGAAAAAAGAAGAAAAATCCCTAGGTAAAATCTTGGCCTATGCTCATCCATCTTGCTGAGCCACCCCAGCTCCCTAGTGAAACAAAGTTAAGGGCCTGTAAAGTAACATTATTTGTTATCTAAGGATTACTTACTTTCGTAATAGAATAAATAAACTACCAAAGAATGTAAATAAAATCATAGAAAGATAGGCTAATCCAATGTGGTAGTAAAAATTGGGAAAGATGATACCATTAGCTAGAATTTTAGGTTTATATGAACAAAAAAATACCCAGGAATCTGCTACAGGACCCTGAAATCGACAAAATCGCTGTCTACTTTTATCCATCATCAAATATACAGAGAAAAAAATTGGGCCCTACAAAAGATTTAAAACTATTAAGGATAAAATGTTTTTTTTTTCTATTCACCAGTAAAAATCAATGATATTGCATAGTTAAAAGAATTGTAAAGATTTTTTTTTAAAACCACTGATAGCATTGATGAGCACCATTTCATTTTTTTAATCAGAAGTCTGCAGGTACTGCAATTTCACTAAAACTTAGCGTCTAATGAAGTGAATTTCGCAAACTGTCTCATAAAATATAAGCAGATTTTGTGATGATGATATTATCAAATGCTTAGTTTTAGTCATTTCATGCATATATTAAACATTATGATATGTATATGAACTCTTACCTGGCCATCAAGGAGGTTTCTATAAACAAATGGTCGGTCAATACTGGAATAATCAAAGTTTATAGCCATTGGTATAACCACAAACAATAACCAGATAACTACTAAAAACGTATTTAACATTATCACCCAGCGAGTAAAAAAAAATAATGCTCCAATACCAGAACCGAAATTTCCTGAAAAACAAAAACATTGATAATTTTTAAGGGACACCAATGAAACCAACCAAAATGTAGTCTCCCATAACTATAAAATATTTCTTTTAAATTACGTAGTTACTCGTATCATTTGCCAAATTTTAATGTCCAAAATGCAAATCAATGATTTCACAATAAAAAGGGATTGTAAAGAGATTTTCTATACTTTGCATATATCGGGGACACTGAAAGCATCGATTTGAGTCATTCCAATTCCAATCAGACATCTGTGGTTCTTGTAATTCCACTTAAACCTAGCATTTATGACGTCAAATACCAAAAGTTGCTAATAAACTTTAAGGACCTATTTACGTTTGTGACAAACCAGGTTTCAGTGGAATTTCAAAAACCATGGAATGGTGCAATCGATGGTATTGTCCTCTATACACATAAAACCTCCTTACAATCCCTTTAAAGTGGGGGACCTATAAATTAACTCACGTTCAATATGGCTTATGTATTGATATAAAAATGGATTATCCCAAGATTTATATCTCCATCTTCTGTACCAGGTTTTAAAATCAAACAATAATAATCTGACGGTACCCAACTTAGCTCTGACATTATTTAGCTTCCATCTACAAAAAATATATCTGCAGTTATAAATCACTATTGAGGTCATCCAATTGTTCTGGTGAGATTTTATATCTTCTCATTAAATCCCTCATATAAAATCCTAGGGATATTCTACATAAAATCTCCTAGATATTCTATATAAGATCCCACGGATATTCTATAAAATTTCAGGGATATTCTATATAAAATCCCAGAGATATTCTATATAAAATCCCAGGGATATTCTATAAAATTTCATGGATATTCTATATAAAATCCCAGGGATATTCTACATACAATCCTAGGGATATTCTACATAGAATCCCAGAGATATTCTACATAAAATGCCAGAGATATTCTATATAAAATCCCAGAGATATTCTATATAAAATTCCAGAGATATTCTACATAAAATCCCAGAGATATTCTAAATACAATCCCTGGGATATTCTATATAAAATCCCAGAGACATTCTATATAAAATTCCAGAGATATTCTATATAAAATCCAAGAGATACTCTATATAAAATTTCAGAGATATTCTATATAAAATCCCAGATATATTTTATATAAAATCCAAGAGATACTCTATATAAAATTCCAGAGATATTCTATATAAAATCCAAGAGATACTCTATATAAAATTCCAGAGATATTCTATATAAAATCCAAGAGATACTCTATATAAAATTTCAGAGATATTCTATATAAAATCCCAGATATATTTTATACAATTCCAGGGATAATCTATATAAAATCCTAAAGATATTTTATATAAAATTCTGGAGATATTCTATATAAAATCCTGGAGATATTATATATAAAATCCTGGAGATATTCTATATAAAATCCTGGAGATATTATATATAAAATCCTGGAGATATTCTATATAAAATCCCAGAGATATTCTAAATAAAAATCCCTTGGATACCGGTATATATAATCCCAAATGGCAAATCATAGGAAATATTGAATCGCAAGTGGGGTCATTTTGACTCACTAACTGTCATACTGCTTAAATTGAACATGAAAGGATCCATAAATAACAAAGATTTACTTACTTTGATGTAGCTCCATCAATTTCATCGCCTTCTCTCACAGTAATTTGACTGTCTCTGTATTCTAGACTCAGGCTTTGACCAACAGACGGTCCCCACGAGGTTTTTGATTCCCGAGGGTCCAGGAAGGGTTGTTCCGTCACAACTCTTTGAGAGAAGGACTGAGCCAAGGATCGCTTACGACGAAGGACCACCTGAGACAGTGATATGTTCTATTAATAAAATGGACAACTTAGTGAAAAATGAAGGAGAAAATTTGACATTTTTAATTTGGGCTGTGTGACAGATAGGGTTGATCTACCTCTAGATGAATCTTTAGCTTCATAAACGTATTTTGACAAGTGTAGTAACACCATGCAGTGTACAATGAGTGAATTTACCAAAACACTAGCACTGGCCGGTCAGAACGGTAACAAATCTTAAAAACTCGATAGTTGAAAGGTTAACAGATTAACCCTACGCCCTACAGAGGCACCCTACTCTCTCTCTGGTGATGAGTTTAACTATTAATTGTTTAGAATAGAACGAACTTACCGGTGCCATTGCAGTTTCATCTGTTGTAGAAAGACTTCTGCGTGAATCATGCCCTCTGAGCCTATGAATTGATATTCTCGTATCTGTTAGTGACATTCCAAATTGTTGGAAAAATTTACTGTCAATAGAATAAATCTGGCTGAACTTAGCATACACATTCAACTAGCATACAGATTTGGGTCAAATCGTCTCAGCATACACATTCGCGGCAAGTCGACCCCATATGAAATCTGAATTATTTCTTAAATATTGTTAAAATAACTTAAATTTTTTTATGACAAATACACATAAGAATTCTTTCAATTTCGCAACACCTATATGCCTAACTCCCTTAGTCTTTGTTCTGTGACCCATTTAAGACATAATTTTTTTTTAGGGAAGCTGAAACTTACCAAAGTTATTTACAGCAAATTAAACTTAAAGGCTATTATATTATGTCGATTGGTGTATGTCTTTAATGGGTCTCCGTACAAAAAGTAAGGGAGACAGCAACTTGGTGATTTGATATTTGGAATGAGGACTAGTGTGAGATAGTATGGTATAAATTTCAAAAGGTTCCTATAACGGCTAAGCCTCGCAAATAGTCCGTAAACCTTGAGTAATATTCTGATATAGGTCATATATACATGTCGATTAAGCCTAAGGTATGTCTTTAATGGGCCTCCATACAAAAAGTAAGGGATCGAGACAGCTAGCAACTTAGTGATTTGATATTTCGAATGAGGACTATAGTATGAGATAGTGTGGTATGAATTTCAAAATGTTCCTATGACGGCCGAGACTCACAAATTGCCCGTAAACTTTGGGTTATATTTTGCTATAGGTTCTAATATGTCGATTGGTGTATGTCTTTAATGGTCTTCCGTACAAAAAATGAGGACTAGCGTTAAGAGTGAAGAAGTTCCTAAAAACTTCTATGTAAAGCACTGGCCAAGGTCACAAATAAAGAGATAAATGTTCAATACGACTAGTGTGAGATAGTATACATATGAATTTCAAAAAGTATCTATGACGGCTAAGCCTCGCAAATTGCCCATAAACTCTGAGTAATATACTCATATAGGTCATATATTTCGATTAGTGTATGTCTTCAATGGGCCTCCGTACTTTCTCAGACAATACACATTAACTGAATTGAATTTTGACATCACTGAGAGACTGTCTTTGGGATGATGAAAATGTCAACCACTGGAAAAGTTATAATTCTTGGCCGCCAACACGGAATCAATTAGATCAGTACTATCCTGACTGTTATCTTAAATATGGAAAAGTAACTGCAATAGTTGACTGCACAGAAGTTCAGACTGAGAGGCCATCTTTGGACAGTACCAATTCAGCAATGTATTCCAACTGTAAGTCAAGACATACATACAAAGTTTTAGTGGCCTGCACACCAGGGGGTACAGTATCATTCGTTTCCAACACAGTAGGGGGAGATATGTCTGATGTTGAACTTGTTAGAAGATGTGGAATTTTAGATTTGTTTGAAAGAGGAGATAAAGTTATGGCAGATAAGGGCTTTAATAATAAAGATGACTTTCTACTCGGGTGATGTTGAATTAATAATTCCAACATTTGCAAGGAAGAACATTCAGTTTAGAGAATCAAATAATGTCAGCAATACTGAAATATCGAATGCTCGATTTTATGTGGAATATGTTATTGGACGAATGAAAGATTTTAAAATTTTGCAAGGACCAATCCCTCTGATTTTAAGTGATTTAGTTAACGCTATTTTTTTTTTGTGGTTGTCATCTATCAGGTGTTTTGGTACCACTTCACACACAGTAATTGATTATTAATTCACTCTTCAGTATAAGACAGCAAGAAATACATGTTTGAGATTAAATCACGGGCAACTTCAGTAATTTCTAAATTAGAATTTGCTAATTGTATTTGTTCATAATGCAATTTTACTTTATGGGTCATTAATTCATTTACAATTACCTTTTTAAAAAAGACTTTGCATTTATTTACAACGTTCGTGGCAAACCTGTCATCATAGGCAATTTGAATAAAAATATTGTCATCTATTGCAATTGTTTTTACAACAAAATCAGAATATTGAATATGTGTAGCATGTATCTGGATTTGTACTTGAGCATAATACTGATGATTCTTGTCAAGACTGACTTGTCCATTATTTGAAAATTTCAAATAAGACTGATCTGTGGCTGCAATTTGTTATAGAGTCATTTAAAAAAATTTTCTGGATTTTTAACCTCCAAACAACCCAATCCACACCAATCACAATTAATCATACCGTCTGGTGTGGCTGCTAACCAAGGATTTTCCATGCAAATATGAAGCCCTGTGCTTTGAACCTTTAAATTTTGGCGTTTTCTCCTAATTTTTTTCGTATTCTGTAATTGCAGGTTATTACCTTTCTCTGCCCCACTTCAAAGATTTTACATTGGCTGGTGCACTTTTGTAATAGAACATTTTTCGCTACTATAGAATTATTCTTGTGTGAAACTTGTTCATTTTCATTTACTTTTCTGTAACACTCATGTGCTACTGATGGAGTGATGCGTCCAATTCGGTTATCAAACCATATTTTTGATTTAGCCTGTGTACAGGTTTGACGCACAACATAGTCAATGCTTTGTTCTGTTGTTGAATCTTTAAGTTTTAACATGAGTTCTTTCACAAAATCACTTGCACTAATGTTTTCCTTTGATTCTAAAATTTCGTTATCAAGAACAGGTATGGTTTTAGTGACAGTTTCAACTTCCTCTTCCATGTAAATATTTTCAATATCAGGATTAACTGCATTTTGCTCAACACTGCTTCTTGGAGAATGTAAAAGTACACCACAATTTCCATTTGTTATCTCTCTTAGCCTATTTAAGTCAAAATCTGATAGTGTTTTTTCCTTGCGGTAGCAGAATGCTCTGGGTTCAAATGTCAATCGAGACTTTTTTCCACGAGTTTGAAAATCTTCTTGAGTGGTATCAAATCTACCTGTAACCTTTTTCACAACAAGATTTCTTACAAAGTCTGGTTGTGTAACCCTTTTCCCTTGGACATGTGGTTTGTTTGGGATGTACATGCTTTGTTGCATCCCGACTCTATTTGCCTAACAATACATTGCAACAAGGCAACGCAATGTTTGCAATACACTCGTAGACCTGCTGGACAATTGCAGTAAGCTCTTTCCACTTTTCACGTTCTCTTCTGAAGGACTGTACATACACTATATGGTGCTTGTGTCTGAGCCTTTTGTCCAGCAACAATAGCCTTTACATATATATTTGGACTGATTCGATGGTATTCAACTCCAGTAACATGTCCAGATAAGTATACACTTTCTCCTTCTTTTGTTGATTTTGATCCTTTCGTCGGGACATTATGGATCTCAGCACCTTTAAAATTAATTCAGTTTATACATATACATGTATAATACATCATAGAGTAGTTTATTGAGGAAACAAATCACGAACTTGCATGAGTGTAAACTAGACACACCTGCTTTGTTCTTTATTTGTACACAAGACAAGCCAAGAGGCGGGACCTATTTATATGAGGTGAATCAATCTACCGAAGTGATTGATTGCTTAATACCCCAGTCCCCAATCATGTTAATCAGGTAAGTAAAACACTGTCAATTACTGTAGGCATTTTGTAACTGACATGAGTGCCCTTTGGAGCAACACACGTTTTGTTAATTGCCAGTTCATACATTTTGTTTTAACATAAATAATTGTGAAGTCTATTCTACTTGACTAGAATGAATAGAATCATGATACAAACATAATAATCAAATAATAATACTGGATACAAGTCAGAAGGAACAGTAGTGGAACAATTTTACCTTAAAATAATAATAAAATCTATCTGTTTAAGGTTGTGAAATTATTCTCAGTCTCCAGAGTCTGATATCAGTTAGCCTACTATAGTAATAAATACTTACACTGTTTTATATAATCTTCTACATCTGAGACTGATGTATTCGGAAAATTTATGTAGGTTTTCTCTCACCCAGCTAATATTTTTACAGGATCGTTGCTAAAATAGTTGCTAGCACATGTCTATCTTCCTTATTTCTACTGGCGCATGGGATTACCCGGATTTTAAGAAAAACGCCCAATTCATCTCGCTTCAACACAGCTACGTCTTTCTTATCGCTCATTATTACAATGCAACGCAATTTTATGCGCGAACAACCTCTATCCGCAAAGTGATCTATAGGAGGTCAAAATATCCTACAGCAATTTAAGGCAACTTAAGTTTAACTGGTCGCTTCAGACGACTAAAAGACCAGCCTCGAAAAACGGTTAATAGTTAAAATGCCTTAACTTTAGTCGTCTGAAGTGGCAGAGCTAGGTTTACGTCCGAATCTCTAACCTATTTATGAGAATTTTGCTCTAAAAACGTGCTTTTGGGGCTGCGAGGGGGGCGGCTGTACCCTGTGCCCCCACACCTTCCTTGGGCTCAGCCACTGGTCTGAACAAAAGACTAAATCATCTAAATCAAACCCGCTTCAAATAGCGGTTTAAATATGGGTGTTTAGGTGGTCATCTTAATTTCATTTATGACCGCATTGGCTTTACCCATATTTCTACAAGCAATAATAACATGACCTCCCATACGAGCTATTTCTCTGGCAGCAATGTATCCAATACCTGCAAAACAAATACATGTATACAAGTACGAAGTACAACACGACGATCTTATCAATTAAATCGTCCAAAACCGATCATAACTGTTGCATTTACAAAGATAGCTTGCCAGGCAAGGTAACATACGCCCACTACCAGCTGTCAGAAATGATAACGAACTAAGTTGATAGTGACTTCATAATGAATTTTCAAATAATCTTTAAAATATTTTAAAGTCAAGGCAAAACCTCAAAAACAGTTCAACCAAATTATAATCAAATTCAATCATGAACAAAGTCCCATCATTGTACACACAACAGCAATGACTCTGAAACCTTTCATCCGATTATCACCGATTGCGAAATTAACTGAGATCTCATCAATATATATACATCCATATCAAGTTTCATCAAGATTGGATAAAAATGCTAACGGACAGACAAGGTTTTCATTATAATATGAGCGTTTTTCCAACTAATGTTTTCAGCCTTACAATCATAGTCTTAACGATTGTTTGTAGTTTGAGGCATGTAAATAATTCAGTGATTAGCACAATTTTACTAAATGAATGGGGCTTTACGTCCTACTTTTCTGCACCATCTGGGCTACTGAAGACGGGCAACGCCATGCAGGGTACAATGAGGAAAATTTTGTCAGGACAGCGGCATTAGTCTGCTCCTTTTCAATAGCACTGAGTATTCCAAACTGCTAGAGGGTGACAGATGATTCGAATAAACCCACCTTTACTTCCATGCATCAATTGAGGATCTTAAACGAGGGTTATAAACCTTGATGTACAGCATTACCTAAAACACATGTTAAGGTCAAATTGTCATATTGGACAAAGAAACTATGATTCTAATAAAAACTAGAGCCACACGTGGCACAGAGTTGGACTTTGCAGATGTAGCAATTTGCCTGAAAAAATCAACCTTCAACGTGCAAGAACAATCTAAAGTTGAGAAATTTTCATCATTTAGAAGATTCCGATACCGGAAGTAGACGCCAGACCTCACAAATGAAAGTATCAGCAGATAGCCAAGGTCAATGACCTTTGATCTTGTAAAGGAGAAGGTCTAAAAAGGTCAAGATCACGATATATAAATCATCAAAATTTCAAATGCATATGGCCATAAAACCGGAAGTTGACATAAGACAGCAATAAAAAAGTATAAATAAATAGCCCCTGCCCCTAAATGGAAACAATTTGTAATTCGATCAACCCAGATGTGCCACACCAACATTTTTTGTCATAGGTGAAAGTGTCTAGTTGTATTCCAAATTTCAAGGTTCTACATAAAATAGATCATAAGATATATATACACCAAGCTCAAAGAGAACACAAATATGGTAAAACAAAACTTTCAATTTGAAAAAATCACGAATTTCAATTTTGCTTTAAAAAAAACTATTGTTAAATATCAATGTAAATTGCATGAGAAGCCCATTAGGAAACCGAAAATATTAACCCTCTAGGTTAATTAGATCATCTGCTACAGCAGTCCAAAGTTGCGAGTTTTGTTTTTTTCGGACAGCTATAAAACCGGAAGTACATGTCAAATGTCGAGGTATCAAATGATAGCCAAGGTCAATGACCTTTGACCCTATAAAGGTCAAGGTTATCAAAGGTCAAGGTCGAGTGATGTGATCGTTTTAAGCTTGAAAAAATTTCAGCTAAATATTGTTGATGTACATTACACCGGAATTTATTCAACTGGAAGATGTGAAATTCAGTCGCTTCTCTGTTTAAAAGCAGAAATGACATGCAAAATTTGACTGTACCGCATTATTTACATTAGTAGAGTCTCTTTGCATTTAAAATTTCAGACCAATCGATGCAAAAGCAAAAAAGTTGCAAAAAAATTGAAAAATTTGATCGAAAAAAGGGAGCTACGAATTTTCGAATTTCGTAATTTTTCAAGTGCTATCAGGTCAGAAATCAGATAGATTG